CTCCTGTACCACCTTGCCACCGGAGGGTACCCTCCTGTACCACCGTGCCACCGGAGGGTACCCTCCAGTACCACCTTGCCACTGGAGGGTACCCTCCTGTACCACCCTGCCACCGGAGGATACCCTCCTGTACCACCCTGCCACCGGAGGGTACCCTCCTGTACCACCTTGCCACTGGAGAATACCCTCCTGTACCACCTTGCCACTGGAGGATACCCTCCTGTACCACCTTGCCACCCGAGAGTACCCTCCTGTACCACCCTGCCACCGGAGAGTACCCTCCTGTACCACCCTGCCACCGGAGAGTACCCTCCTGTACCGGGCTTCTGCTTCCGGGCATACCCTTCCAGAAGGGGTAAAAGAATGCCTAGTTAAGCCCCCCTCTCCATTTTTGGCCCATAACCTTTCTGGTAGCCATCAAACAGGTCCTTTTGAAATCACCAACTGATGTAGTTTTCAGAGTACCCTCCTGTACCACCCTGCCACCAGAGAGTACCCTCTTGTACCACTCTGCCACCGGAGAGTATCCTCCTGTACATGTACCACCTTGCCTCCGGAGGGTACCCTCCTGTACCACCCTGCCACCAGAGAGTACCCTCCTGTACCACCCTGCCACCGGAGGGTACCCTCCAGTACCACCTTGCCACTGGAGGGTACCCTCCTGTACCACCCTGCCACCGGAGGGTACCCTCCAGTACCACCCTGCCACCGGAGGGTACCCTCCTGTACCACCTTGCCACCGGAGGGTACCCTCCTGTACCACCTTGCCACCGGAGGGTACCCTCCTGTACCACCCTGCCATCGGAGGATACCCTCCTGTACCACCTTGCCACCGGAGGGTACCCTCCTGTACCACCTTGCCACCAGAGGATACCCTCCTGTACCAACCTGCCACCGGAGGATACACCGACAGTATCCTAGCACGGCAGGAACGTAGTAGGGAATCTCCGGCAGGTAGGCCGAGATGTAAGCTACCTGGGTGGGGTGCCATGGTGAGGCACTTAAGTATCATGACTACTTGGTGTTCAGAGTTCAAGACTCCGCTGCCGCTGTCTCGGATTGTTTCGTACGGGTCTATGTATGCTAGTGCTTGTTGCTGGGTTGGACTTCTCCCTGCCTCAGCGAGGACTCTAAATTCCACGCTTCCGCAAAGCCAGTAGTCCGCCCAGGTGAGCGACTGCTACAGTTTCAGTAGCCCCAAACTCTTCTTGTGGGGGCTTGTAGAAAACACATGAGTCTGCCAGCCTCTCCATGGCAA